GTGCCCTGGTCCGGGAAGATCCCGCACGCCGCGGAGCGGCTGGGCCCGTGGGCCGTGGCCGCTGGGCCTGCGCGTCCAGAGCCTGTGCTCCGCAACGGGAGAGGCCACAACAGTGAGAGTCCCGTGTACCGCAAAAAAAAAAAAAAAAATCATTCCCTAAGTAAGAGATGTGAAGGTGGATAAGCAGGAGCAGCAGGGAGATAGTGTTCAAGAAGGAACCAGCCTCATTTAAGGCACTTTTTCACAACCACCTGGCTGCCGTGGCCCCCAGCTCCCTGAGCTCATATGTCACCGCTGAAGACTCCCACACCTGGATAGCCAGTGTCAACACCTCAGCAAACAAGGAAAGAACAGTCAGACGTCTGCAGGTCAGTCAAAGCGGATCTCTTACTGTTTCCCGGTGTGTTAATGTCTATGCAGCTGTTACCTCGGTTCCCCAGGCAGGAGGTCAGACAGATTTATCAGTCTATTCAGCTCAGCTCTGAATCAACCTAGACACACACTGCATGCCTTTCCCTGTCTTTGGCCAGGAAATAAAATGGCCTAGAGATACAAACATGGGATAAAACACTTCTGACACTGTGCCTTTTATTTATCTGCTCCACGTCTCCTGAAACTCCAAACTCCTGAGTGGCCTTTTTAGGACTGATGACAAACGACTTTTTCAGTCTCGTTTCTCCTTCTCAGCCCTACCGTTTGACTTTCATTGGTCACGTAACATGTCTTGTAATTTCATCCCTCTTGTCTTTGTTTATAACATTCCGTCAGCCTGAAATATCCTTCCCCTCGTTCTCCACTTACCAAATTCTTAAGCCGCAGGCCTCACTCCAATGTCATCACTCAGTGAGGTCAGAATGAACTGAGACAAGGGACAGAGCCACAGAAGGCTGAGGCACAAGGGTCACGGTACCAGGGACCTACGCTGTCATAAAGCTTTAGGGAGATGACTCAGCCCACAGGCAACAGGTCATCTGTTCTCAGAACTCCGCAGCCGGTTTCTTCCAAGCAAAAGCAAACCTCTAAAACTCAGCGAGGAAAACTAAGAAAGAAAAGAAACTAACCTGGGTTCTGCTGCTGTGAGAGCCAAGCACGGAGCACATTCAGGAAGTCACTCAAGAAACCATATGCCTGGTTGTGGGCTAGCAACCCTGAAAACAAGGTCCTTGCAGAGCCTGCGGGAGACGTGGCTTTGCCTTCCAGCGTCTGTTTGCCATCTTTGGTTAATAGCCCCTTGATTATACTTGAAGACAGTGGTATTCAGACTTTAGATCATCAGACTCATCTGGAGGGCTTGTCGAGCACATTGATAAGCCCACCCCCTAGTTCTTCTATCCAGCAGGCCTGGGGTGGGGCTAGATAATTTGCATTTCCAACAAGTTCCAGGTGATGCTGATGCTGCCGGCCCCACCAGAGCACAGGCTGAGAACCGCTGCTTTAGGAAACCACCTGATCCCCCTTCTCTCTTTCTGTTGTGTGGAGTACGGATTTAAGGGCAGTGAGGCGCAAGAAAGAAGACTGGTTAAGAGGTGAATACTATGGTCTTCAATAGAGATGGTGAGGGTCCAAATTAAGGAAGTGTCTGGAGGAATGGAGAGAGGAAAAGAGAGTGAGCATTGAATGGTTAACCAAATTTGGGAATGAGAGAGAGAAAAGAACCTACAGTGTTCCTACATCTTGAGCTTAAAAAACAAAGAGACTCATATCCAAGAAAGGGTCTGTTTTATAAGCAGAAGAGACTTGTGCTGGATAATTGGTAAGAGAAAGGAGCAATGAAGCTGAAAAGTTGATACAGAAACCACGGGCATAAATGATAAGCAAGTTCTGTAAGGACAAGTGAACGTGTGAGGGGACAGGCCTGGCTCACACCCCGGGGCAGGGAGGGGGCCAAGGAAGAGAGCTAATGAAGATCATTTTGTGGGCAGGAAGTTAGGAAGTTGGGGGAGTTCATACTCGATATTTTTTTTATGAGATAGAAGTTTCTGGGATTAGACATTTAAGGAGAGAAGTTGGTAAAGGAAGCGGAAGATCAAACCGACTAGAGACAGGTAATGTTTCTGAGAAGCACTCATAGACTCAAATGACAGCCCAAAATTTTATATCCCAAGCTGCTAAGCTCCTTTAAGCTTTATAACAACACTCCAAGCTTCCAGTGGAATTTGAGCTCAAGGTCTCATAGCTATTAAATTGTAGCCCCAGGTACTGAATCCAGGTCTATTGATTTTCACAACAGTTAAATAGTTTCCTGTGTAAGACAGCTAGTCCTTACCTAAAACAAAAGGACATGTTTTTCTGGGAGGAAGGAAGAGGATTTGGATTCTCTCTTGCTCTCTCTTCCCACAGGTGCTCAGAGCCTGCTATGGTCCGAATGTTGGCATTGCCCCCTCCCCATCCCCCGATCCCCACCACCACCATCACCAAATTCATATGTTGAAATCCTAATCCCCAAAGGTAATGGTATTAGTAGGTGGGGCCTCTGGGCGGTATTAGTAGAGTGGAGCCCTGGGGAATGGGATAAATGATTTTATAGAAGCGATCCCATGGGACTTCCCTGGTGGTGAAGTGGTTAAGAATCCACCTGCCAATACAGGGGACACAGGTATGAGCCCTGGTCCGGGAAGATCCCACATGTGGCAGAGCAACTAAGCCCGTGCACCACAACTACTGAGCCTGTGCTCTAGAGCTCACGAGCCACAACTACCGAGCCCGTGTACCACACCTACTGAAGCCCGCGTGCCTAGAGCCCATGTTCCTCAACAAGAGAAGCCACCACGATGAGAAGCCCGCGTACCGCAACGAAGAGTAGCCCCCGCTCGCCGCAACTAGAGAAAGCCTGTGCGCAGCAACGAAGACCCAACACAGCCAATAAATAACTAAATAAATAAACAAAATTTAAAAAAAGAAAGCAGTACTGGCTGTAAAATTAATAGGCAAAAAAAAGAGACCCTGCAGAGCTTCCTGGTCCGCTCTTCCACGTGGCGACACAAGGAAAGGTCTGTGACAGGGCAAAGGGCCCTCGCCTGACCATGTTGGCACCCTGATCTCGGACTTCTCACCTCCAGAACTGTGATAATTAAATCTCTGTTGTTTATAAACCACTATGTTATTTTCCTGAAGCAGCCGAAACTAGGACAGAGCCCCAGTGAAGAAGCTTCTCCACAAAGTTTCCTGTAGCCCCTTGCACATACAACATGGTGTTTCAGGAGAAGAGTGAGCCCTGGCCCCATGGTCTACATAATTAACCAGCCACCACCAGGGCGTTTCCAGTATTGCCAATGCCTATCATAAGTCTCCAAAACACAATTCATTTTAGCTCATATTTAAAGTTTAAGCCCCAGAGCCTCTCTGTGAAATGCTTTACTTCCACAAAGTAAGATGTTACATTTCCCCCGAGGTAGAAATCATCACTCTAGTCCATTTGAGATGCTGAGGGATCCCATTTCAAAGTGCTTCTCATAATGGCTGTGGGATCAAACAAAGGCCCCTCACAGCACACATGTTCTCAGCAGCCTGGACGTGCCTGCCATCCCGGAGAGTACGAGAACATATTCAGAATAGAGTTACATGGCCCTGGTGTAGAAAAACTTCCTGAATGGGTAACCAGAGAAGATAACATATATAGAAACACTCACCTGTTCTCAGAACCAACCGGATCTGGTTTTGTGCATAGGTGGAAAGAACTGAGTCTGGGAACAGAGGCTTTTGTTTTCCCACAGTGAAAACAAGCACCTGCCCACACACAGCCACTCACACAGACTCTCACGCAGACACGGGCACACTTAGCATACCTCCACACACACATTCTCACAAAACTAGGAGTGGTTAGGAAATGTCAAGAAAATTAAAAGCAACGTCAGTCAGTTTGCCACAGACAGCTAACTATGATTTTCTGTCTGTAAAAAAAAAAAAAAAACTAATGTGGAAATAACCAATTTGGGGTATTTCTCCTTGCCCTCTTCAATATATATAGCATCATGTTGGCCTCCTTTGGAACAGTGGGACCATTTCTATGACAGTTGCTGGAAGCACAATGCCTCCTCAGCATGCTACCATATTTCACAAAGAGCTATGGGTCCAGTCTTCTACTTGCTGAGAAGAAGTCGCAAATAGATACTTTGTCTCCAATCCCTGCTTGGTGTCTATTTCATTTTGAAACTGGCTAGTACAGCAGTCTAATAGGACCAAAGGATAGTCAGTTCTTCCTTAAATTTTAAGAACAGCTTCCATTAATGCAACGACCACCATGAGACTAACAGTCTTACTTCTAATTCAGTCCCTAAGCTTAAAGTCTACAAAAATATCCTTATATTTAATAGTTTAAGAAGATTTCCAGCAACCGAATATGGCAAGAGAAGATCGTGCAATTAAATACAGAGGTCAGATTTTCAATTCAGGATTTCAAACCTCAAATGGGGACCCCATACCTCTCCTCGCCTCAAGCCTCGCTCACGTCCTTGGCCCTCACTCTCAGCTGACAGCTTTGCCATATACTTCATTAAGAAAACAGAAATGAAACACAAATCCTTCCTTTTACCACCCCAAGCCCACAATCCCACTTTGCTCTTCTTTCTTCCTGAGCATTAAAGACCTCCTCTCACTAAATGCCGACTTCTTTGTTCTCCGACCTTATCACCTTCTCTCCTGCAGTCACCTTCTAGCTCTCTTGCATCATCTATCTCCCACTTTCTAACAGAAAATCCCCACTCGAGTTGTTCCTTCAATGAAATAAAACAAACGAAACCAAATATCTCCTCCCCACATGCCTGCCCAGCCCCTCTACAGCCTTTCCAAGTAAATCCTCTCAAGAGTTGTCTACCAGTGCTGTTTCTACTTCCTCATCCCCAGTACATTCTCAACATACCACTTTGTCCTCCTCTCCTCACCCCCACCAAGACTGTCCTCGTCAAGGTGGCCAGGGAATTCTGTGTCACCAAACCCAATGGATGCCTTTCTAGACCTTTCAGCATCGCTCCAAATACTGATATTTTCTCCCTTATGCTTACCTTCTTTTGCCTTGTATTCTCTCAAGGTTTCCCTGTTATCACACCAGATGCTTCTTCTCAGTCTCTTTTCCTGGTTTCTCCTCCTCTGTCTGACCTCGAGGATCAGCCTTGGATCTTGCCTCTCTCCCCAGATGATATCTATCTACACGTTTCAAAATCTTTTGCTTATGACTTGCAATTTGATATCTTTAGTCAAGACCTCTCCTCTGGGCTCCAGACTTGTGATTCCACCTAACTTATGTCTCCACTTGTATTTCCAATGGACAATTTAAGCTATGTCAATAACAGAACTCTTGACAGTTTCCTGACAAAACCATACCCAACTCATCTAACAGGTCTTCCTATTTCAGTAAGAACAATAGCTGGCATGTATTCAATGCATGCTATGTGCCAGTAAGTAAGTCAGCTACTGCATAACCTCCTTTAATGCTCACAGCATTCCTATGGAATAGATATTCTCATTATTCCTATTTTATAGAGGAGAAAACCAAGGCACAGAGAGGATAACTTTGCCACGGTCAAACAGCTAAAAAGAATCTCAGATGGGATTAGGAGCCAGGCATTCTAGCTCAAGGGCCAATGTTCTTAAGCAAAACATTATAGTGTCTTCTCCCCAGAAACTCTTAAGAATTTTATTAATTACTCTTTTCCCCACACGCCCTGCACCTCAGTCATCAGCAGGTCTGGTTAACTCCAGCTCTAAAGTAGATTGTGGACCTGCCCACTTCTCTTCATATCCTCCGCCACCATTTCGGTCTTGTATGGCTCACAGTTACAGCCTCCTAACTGATTTACCCTCGGTCACTTTTTCTACCTCTGAGCTGCTCACCATGTTACCCCACTCAGGTTCAGCTGTTTGCCACTCAAAAGCCAATAATCGAGAGGCAAGTGTCAGTAGAAAGGAAAGGTGCTTTAATCAGAAAAGCCGGCAATCTGGGGAGAAGGCGGACTCATGTCCCAAGAGTAACTCTGAAGACTCTTGCTCAGCCATGACAGTTTTTAAAGGGAAAGGGGGGTAAGAATCTCTGTGAGTCATCAAGGCAAGAGGTTGGATTCTGCATAATTCTCCATTGTGTGCAGACTGGCTGACTCTTTCTTCAGATGTTATCTTGCCTGCATGATCTGCTTGCAGGATTACTAAGGGGGCTATTGGGGGTAGAGAGCTAGTCATTCTTTAACTACTTAATCTTCATTCTTACTTCTTTTAATCTAGAAAAAGAATCAACAGGTTAGACATGGCATGGTGTGCATTCAAGAGAGCATAAGTCAGGAGTTAGGTGAAATTGCCTAGTGATCTCTTTCCTATAATTAGGTTCTTTTAAGGTTAGAGCAGAACAGAAATGGGCAAACAGCAAAGGGGCAAAAGAGCTGCCTTCAACCACGAATGGACAAACACATCTTAAAAAGGGAAAGATCATATCATTCTCCAATTTAAAAACCATCAAAGCATCCCTCTGCTGTTAGACGGAAATCTAACATCCTCACCATGCCCTCTAGGGCCCTGCCTTTCTCTCCAACTTCATCACAAGCCACACTTCCCCACCTCACAGCTCCTCACCTCTGCTGGCCTCCTTTCACCGCCATAAATGCACCAGGGTTCGCCCCCGTCCTTCCTATCTGGAGTGCCCCACCCACCTGGCTACCTCCGCCCACCCTTCACATCACTCCTGAGAAATGGTCCCCTTCAGCACTACCTAAAGTAAGGTTCCTAGGGATGCACCACCTTATACAACTTTTAGCTATTTAATTCTTTTCCATTTTCTTTTTTTTTTAAAAAAAATCTCTCTTCCCCCAAGAAGCTCCATGAGGCCTGACCCAGGTCTTTCTTGTTCCTTATGAAAATGCCAGTGTCCAGGACAGCACCCAGCAGAGTCAAGCCCCTCAGTACATCTTAATTAATATATTCTCTCTAGTTTTTTTTAAGTGTCTTCAAGGGGGCAGGAATCCCAAATTTTAAGGTTCAATTGTTTCTGAAAAGGAAACTGATTATTGTGAATCATAAGAAATTTAGAAGCACTCATTCCTGAAAGAACTAAAAGGGGGGAAAAAAAAGAATTTCCCTGGATATACAGGAATGTACGTTTTTGAGGGAAGCTTAGCTCAGCAGAAAAATAGAATTGGTGGTCATTGCCTTATGAGCTAATGGGGCATATGGGATCCTCTCGACCTGCAAAGTGAATGAGAAATTGAATTTAATAAAAATATCTAAAATCCTAGTCAAAAGAACCGAGATTATAAATTCTCTGATATAGAAACCATATGGAGAGTTAAATAGTGTAGCATGAAGAAAACATAAATGCACCACCTAAACTGTTAGACTTTCCTAAAAAAGCATGAAATTGACTTTGTCCCTGAGGTTTCCGAGATTCTCACTAAAAACAAGAGCATTTGTTGCCATTATCAAGACCTCCAGTTTAGACTTTCTAACAGGCAACGAGGACAGCACTGTTGAAATGCTGGGTTCAGCGATGACTTTGTTCAGTGTCATCCTGGGGCCAGTACATTTGGCCGAGGCAGCATAACGACATAATGTGATGCTCTGTTATGGAATGCTGTGTATCTCGGCCAGTGCCCTGGGCTGCTTTGTCTATTTGCTACATTTCAGCCTCTGGTTGTGAGGTTGTGCCTTATACCGCACACCCAAAACACTCCACTCACTCATTCATTCACTCGCTCATTGATTCAGAAAACATATCTCGAGAGTCTAAACTATGCTGAGCACTGTTCCAGGGGCTGGGGTTCGAGCAGGGACTAAAACAGACAAGGCCTTTTGCTCTTACATCATAGAGGATGATAAGCATAACTACGGTAACAACCTAAGAAACCCTGAGGAACAAGAAGAAAGTAAAACAAGGTAACAAAAGAAACAAGTGAGTGAGGCCCTGTGGAGGCGAGAACTGTGAACAGACGTAGAACAGAAGCTGGGGTGCACAGAGGCGGCCTCTCTGAACAGGCTACATTTGATCTGAGGGAGAGCGATACCAGGCGGAGCGCAGCACCACGGAAGATTCAAAATTGAGTCAGGCTTACCTGTGCACGTCCTTGTAAAATCTGAGTTTAGCAAAAAGCCCAAGTCAGTTTAACCAGAGCCCCCTACCCTTGATATCTGATCACCCTCAGTATCTGATCGCTTATCTGTCACCATCCCCCAGGTGATGTCTGATGGCCCTGGCCTGTCTTCAGTGAAGAATCCTGTTAGGTCGGTTTAGCCAGAATTCCCCTTACCCCTGATGTTTCCTCTGAGTAATTTTCCACCACCCCCACCCCGGCCCCGCACTCTGCTCCTTGGCTTACATTCCCACTTGCTCGATCTCTCATCCCTACTGTAAAATCCACTGTCATCAGCGCTATACTTAATGAGCTGGTCCTGAATAAAGTCAGCCCTACCAACTTTAACAAGTGTCACTGAATATTTTTTTTCTTTACTAGCACCAATGGCCTATGGCCCGAGGTCACCGTGGCTGCGCTCAGTGAGTGGTGTGCAGAGATATCAGGAAAATAGGTACGGGCCAGACCAGGGGGTACTGGGAGGCCACAGTGAGGAAACTTCTGCACCATTGTGTGTGTGCACGCCGGCAGGCAGGCCTATAGGTACTCCCTTGCCCTTCAGCTTCTGTTTGGGTTAAGCTACTGCTCCCACCTCCCCCACTTTGCAGAGCGCAGAAGGTGGGAGTAGGATGCACGTCACTGTGGACAGCCTGTGCCACCCTACTGAAGGTCAAAGCTCCCATCAGGGGGCCATGCCACATAATTCTCTCTCTCTGGGTTCCTATATCCGCTCCCTGCATTTTCCCATTCAGACCTGGGGTAGTCATAGCTCTGCACTCTTACTATTCCTTGGGGGTGCTGCCCCATCGTTAGTTACTTTTTCAAACCCCATCTAGGACCTCCTAGAAATTGTCATCAAACACCCAGCCTGACAGTGATGTTCTCGCCAGGACCCTGACTGACAGATTGTAATATAAAAACACTGCCCAAGCCACTTTCTCCCTTTCAGCAGTTACCTTTGCTTCCTCCTTATCCTTGGTAACCCACCTGCTAGAAGCTGGTTCCTCTAAGTGGCACATAACTCCATAAAACATCACTTTGGGAATTTTCAGAAGTTTCTGGGTCCATTAAATGTCATTCAGCTCCTATGGTTCCCTTTCTCTGCACGAAGCTTCCCTGAGATCAGAGCTCTCTTTAGGGTGATGCAAGTCATTCCAATAAAATGATTCAGGATGGAATTTTGAAAATGAAAGGCCATGTGGTACAGAAAGAGCACTGGATCTGTAGTTCAAGTTTAACTGCATGACTCTTGGCAAGTTGATTTCCTCATCTTTAAGATAGTAATGATAACAATGTGCAGTGATAAACTTATTCATCAACACTCAGAGTAAAAAGCATGAATGGACCAATCAAGCTGCAGTAACTCCACTCCATTCTGAGGAAGAAGGGCAAATCAATCCAGCATTAAATTCTTCACTTCATCGACGCTGAGACACAGACTATAAACAAAACCCAGTAAGACTCTTGTTTTGGTCACTTCTTAAAATGACAATGTCCCCACAAATGTTAAAATACAAAGGTTATTATATCAGCCAGTTCGGGCTGCTATAACCAAATACAACGGACTGGGTGGCTTAAACAGCAGACGTTTATTTCTCACATTTCTGGAGGATGGATATCCAAGATCAAGGTGCTGGCAGATTCAGTTCCTAGTGAGAGCTCTCTTCCGGCTTGCAGATGGCTGCCTTCTCACTGTGTCCTCAGGTGGTGGAGAGAGAGCTCTAGTGCACTTCCTCTTCTTCCAAGGGCACCAGCCCTATCAGCTGTGACCTCATTTAAACTTTATCATCTCCACACCAGCCCTGTCTCTAAATACAGCCACACTGGGGGGTTGGGGCTTCAACATATGAGTTGGGGGGCTGGGAGGAAGACACAAATATTCAGTCCATAACAGTTATCTAGACCAACTGCATGATAATCATTACCCAAATACTATCTATTTCTCTCGGGAACAGGCACGCAGAGATGATTTAGAATTCCATCAGATTCAAAATTCTCTTCCTCTACTGTACATAATGATGTATACTGAAGATTATGATTAAAAGCACTAAGTTAGGTTTAGTAATCATTTATATAAACTAATTGCTTACTTAGAATATATGCACAAAACGAAACCAAAAAGCCAGCCTTTAATTTATGCAACTACATGATATCTAAACATCTAAGTATCAAAGGTTGCCGTCGCTTTGCT